TATAGCCCGCCAAACATTGGCGACAGCAATGCGTGAACTTCCCATCTACTAAAGTTACTTGACAAAACATGAACTCAAGTTACGCACATTTAAGAATCCGAATTTTTGCTACACCCGGTTCCCCTATGATACGTCACTGCATACTGTCTATTTCCCACCCATGAACTGTATTAATATTCTAATTTCTCAGCTAATTTTAAACCGAATATCATTTACACCATACCTAAATTTAGACGATTTAATTTTCCGAAAAGAAAATAGTATGTGTCAAACGCATTCTTACATATTGTCTATCCAAATACAGTGTTCGCCCATCGGGTGCGAAGCTGACCAAGGATTCGATGTGTCAATGTGAAACCGCCTACGGGACTCCTGCCCCGGGTTTAAGTTCAGAGTTTGCCCTCTCTTAGACGCGTTGCCATCCCGCCTGTCCGGGGTTGATGGTGATGCTTTCGTTTGTCTAGGCTTTGCCTGGGGGATTGAACTCCAGGCCCCAAGCTTGCGATCGCCTAAGATTAAATCATGCGACCACCCAAATATACACCATTGAAAGTAAAGATATAAAACATAGTCCGTATCATTGGAGATTTTTATCGAAATTAGCCGCAAAAAAAAAACAAAAAAAAAAGATGATGCGTCTCACACAGATAGTCCATCTGACGTCACCAGGCTGCAAGAAAATTCAGGCGGCGAAGAGTTCATCTTACAATCAATGACTTTTAAGCGCCATCTGCTTTCGAGGGCGCCATCTGCTTTCGATGGCGGAGTCGCACTTCACGCTTACAAAATGGAAAACATAAACTGAATTCATTTAGTCAATGTTTGCATACGGCGCTAAGCTGGCGCGCGGTGTGTTAGGTGGCAGTGGCGGAGACGAGTCGAGTGGACCAGGCTTTGGAATTCACCTGGGCACCTGTTTTGGGAAACTTAATAGATGAATGGAGTATACGTTGTATATAATGTGTGTTTACGATATGTGCATAGCGGAAAAGATGAATATGTTGAAAACCGTAGGCAATAGTGAGAAAGACCATGGAAAACATGGAGAATGGACCTCGTCTGATGAGTTAATGAGATAGATAGATAGATAGATAGATAGATAGATAGATAGATAGATAGATAGATAGATAGATAGATAGATAGATAGATAGATAG